GTGTGTGCATCTTGATTGACAGCTCCCTCTGTCATGAGTTTGTGGTTTAGTTTTATATTGTGAATATTCTCAGAGTTTAAATTTCCTTTCCTGCTTTATTTTGTCTCCTTCCTGTTGCTCATTTCCTGTGTGTGTTTCTTTATTTTAGTGTTTCCTTTTTTATTTTGTAGTTTCTTCTCTGACTTCCTCTCTTTGATCGCCCTGATTGTGTTCACCTGTGTCATTAGTCTCACCTGTTTCTGATTACCCAGAGTGCTTAGCATTTCTGTCAGTGTACCTTCCCTCTCGTTATTTAACATTATAATCCTCTGAACACACACTCACACACACACACACACACACACACACACACACACAGACACACACAGACACACACACACACACACACACACACACACACACACACACACAAGACACACACAGACACACACACACACACACACACACAGACACACACACACCCACACAGACACACACACACACACACACACAGACACACACACACACACACACACACAGACACACACACACAGACACACACACACACACACAGACACACACACACACACACAGACACACAGACACACACACACAGACACACACACACACACACACACACACACACACACAGACACACACAGACACACACACAGACACACACACACACACACAGACACACAGACACACACACACCACACACAGACACACACACACACACACACACACACAGTGTGAGATAATACGATGTATGACGTATAAAACCGTCAGAAACACACAAACACAATCATGCCGTTGTTTTCCGTGATTCTCAGCGAGCTGAGACGTGTCAGAGATGTTTTTTTATGGTTTTTATAATCCACTACATATAACTTCCTGTTTAGTGAGAAGGGAGGAGGGAATGATTTCAGACACGACCTAACAGTCAGTTTCCTGTTTTCATCTTCTGATTTCTGCACCGTTTCGTCTTCAAGTTTTCAAAACTAGGAAGAAAATAAAGCTTTAGTTTTTTCAATTCTCAGTTGATTCTTATTCTTTCAAACATAAAATGAACAGCTGGTATTTCAGTGTCTCTCTGAAGAACAGTCGGGTTTCTAGATACAGAAAATAATTTAATTCTGAACATTTGTAGAATCCTCACAGGCCTCGTGGTGTCAGATCACTCCTACAGGACTCAATTCAATTCAAACAACTGAATTAATCCCTCTTGGGGTAATTGGTGTGGAGCAGCTTGTACACATGAGAGAGAGACATAAACAAAGGCAAGTTGACGTACAAAGAACAAATCTGTTCTTCTCAAGGAGTTAAAATATAGATAAAACCTAAAGGAGATACTAATGTTAAAGAGCATTCAGTCATCTGATCACAGAGGGATGAATGATTTCAATCAGAGGTTCGTTTTACAGGCAGGTAAAACATAAAGACGACGTGAAGGCAGCAGAGAAAATTCACTTAAGAGTGCATGACCAGAAGAAGCTAAAATACTCTCAACCTTCCTGAGGATCTGCTGTTTACAAAAAGAGTTCAAATCTCTGTTTCACACCTTAGAACAGATTTCAACAATTCCTGTATGTCTGTTTCTGTCGTTAACTGAGAGGCTGTGAAACCAACAGATAAAATTAAAACAAAGGAGACTCTCAACAAAAGAATGATAAAAATGACAAAGTATTTCAGGACTGACTGAGAAAGAGTTCAGTTTCCTTAAAAGGTGGATTCTCTGTTGCCCCCTCTTCACAATAGCCTCAGTGTTGAAATCAAATTTAAGTTGGTCGTCCAAATACGAGCCCAAGTGTTTGTAAATGGAACAGTAAATGGACTTGAGATTCCTGTATGTAGCACTTTTCTAGTCTTCTGACTACTCAAAGCACTTTTACATTGCAGGTCACACCTACACATTCACACCCTGATGGTAGAGGCTGCTGTGTAGTGAGACCATCAGAAGTAACTCATCCCATTCATATGCATTCAAACACCGCTGACGAAGCAGCGGGAGCAACTTGGGGTTAAGTGTCTTTCCCAAGAACACATCGGACATGTGGCTGCAGGAGCTGGAGATCGAACCCCCAAACTTCCGGTTAAGAGACGACAACTCTACCAACTGAGTCACAGCCGCCCTGTGGAGATAGTACGACCCTACAATCTGCACAGTTTTATTATGGATGCTGCACTCTGTGGCTGCCTCCCTCTTCAGTCTAAAATCAAAGAGTAGCCTGTTACACTGCTGCAGAAACAACAGGTCTCCATGTAGACCTCTGACTGCTGCTATGACACACAATGACCACTAGATGGAGCCCAACATGAAGAAACAAGAACTGCTGCCACAACAAGCATCAAACTGTCCTGATGCATGAGAGTGACTGTAATAAATGTATGAACTGGAGCATCTTATTCACAAAGAAGATACGACGACTTTAACCCTTTATAGGGAACTCATTGAAATACTTTGAAATTTAAAAATTCAACCTTACAGTGTTATTGGGGGACATAATAAAACTTTATTTCTGTTGTAAATTTTAAATGTTAATGTCATGTAAAAAATCAACAAAGTTACCATATTTGGTTCCTTGCCCTTTAGTGGTAAAAAAGAAATCCAAGAAGTGTATATACACAAAATACAAGAAAAACACCTATAAGGTGAAAGGAACATGTATGTTTCAACATTAGAACATCACTTTTAGAACATTACAACACAAGTGCTGATACAGGCACCTGTCAACATACGCAGTATCACTTTAGACACCATTAGGCCAGTTTGTCATGGTACCTAATAAAGCAGTTACGCTCACTGTTCATGCAAGGTGGACCTTGCAGACCCTGTAGGCCACATTTGACCTTAAAATGTTGCCTTTGCTGCTGCAGTACTTGCAGGTCTGGCGTTTGGCATGTACAGGGGCATGGAAGAGGGACAGATCAAAGCGCACAGCCTCATTTGGTGTGTGGCTGCGGTGTCCCCAGACAGGCTTAGGGACATCAGAACTGGTGGTCAGGCTTTCAACAGATGAAGATGAGTTTCTTCTGGAGCTAGATGTGGCAGGCATCTGGCCGCTGGCACACCTGAACACCTGGATTCTGAAATCTTTCAGAGGCTGGCCATTCACTCCCAGGGCCTTACAGTCCCGCCTGTACACAACCCAGGCATTTGTGATACTGACGTCAATGACGTATGCAAACAGACGCAGGTACCACCTCTTGGACTTCATGGGGGTGCGGTAGAGGTGTACCAGCATGTCACTCTTATCAATGCCCCCCATGTTGGCATTATAACTCCTGATGACAGCTCACAGGCTCCTTCTTCTTGGTCTCACTGCAGTACCTGATGACTGAGGACATCGGCTCCACCCCCATGTCTGTTGACAGCAGAGTGACCACTTTGTTGTCCTTCCACCTGACGGCCAGTATACCATCATCACTGGTAATGTAGTCACAAGTACCACGCGAGGGACAGCCTTTTTCCCCATCTCCTTGATGGACTTGAGTGGAGGATTTCTGATTCTATTGTCCCTGGCTGTCCCTGTGTACCTGCAATTCTGATCTCGGAGGTACCGCACTAGCTCAAGGCTGGTGAAAAAGTTGTCAGCAAAGATGGCTGTGGTGGTGAGGCAGGACATGGTACTGGCGAGGACAGCGACAATCTGGCTGGTGGCGCCCAAGACTTTTTGTTCAGGCGTCTGGGGGACATCGTGGGCCTCGAGGGTAGTCTTGCCCTGGTGTAGCACCATGTCATGGATGAAGCCATCCTCAGAGGCCCTGGCAAACAACTTAAAACCCCACTTGTCTGGCTTGTTTTTGATATACTGCCTCAGACAAAATCAGGGTCTGCCACATCGTCATCTTCCTCCTCGTCATCATCACTGATGGCAGGGTGGGCCGGCATGACGACAGTCTCCCTCCTCTTGGCATAAAACACCCACGCAGTCATTGCCTAAAAATTACACACACTATAACAACCGTTAAAAGGTCACAAACTGACAAAAATCACTCATATTCACTATTTAAAGCTTTAACCCTTGTATGGTGTTCAGGTCTGTGGGACCCATTTTCATTTTCTATCTAAAGAAAAATGATACGATTCATTATTTTTTCAAACTCTGACTCATTGGCCTTGGCTCATTTTCTGTGAAGAACATATATGAGAACACATTTTCAATGACCACACACTGTACACCCCCCTAAACATTTATATTACATACAGGATGTTCGGGTCCATATTAAAATGTATAAATACATATAATATACTGTGTATATATATATATATATATATATATAGCTTTGTCAGTGTGGTTCCTTATCACAACTGATCAAGATGGCCAAAAGATTATCTTCTCAGAGGGCCTTGCAATTGATTTTGGTAAAGAGAGAAGAGTGTGTGTGAGGATTCTGAAAATTCAGAGTGTGACAGTGACTTTGAAGAAGAGGATGAGATTGAGCATCAGCTAGGTCCAAAAGGTAAAGGGCAAATATTAACCATATATGTTGTTTATATTGCTTGTAATTGGGATGAAGTCAACATCTGTTGAGTATTTTAACCTAAAATTGTTTGATTGTGTTGAATTAAAAACCCCAAAATGCAGCAGACCCACAAACACTGGCTGAATAGCTCAAATATGAACAATAAGACCACATGCTTCTCGACCTTACTGAGGTACAGCAGGGTGGCCATATGTAATGTGTGAAATAACCAAAAATAGTCACTTTCCCGATAAAGGGTTGAGACTCTTCTTAGATCAGATCAGTCTATCGAAGCTGGTATTTCAGCTCTGTGACTCAGAGGGAACAAATGAGCTGCAGTTAGAGGCGGAGCCACAGCTGAGGGAGGAGAGCTTCAGACTCACTCTGAAGAAATGTTTGTCACGCAGCCAGAAAGGTCTCCGTTTCTCTTCAAAGAAAGTAAACTAACTTCATCCAATCTTTGTCAATGACACAGCAGAGTCTCTGCAAACACTGGTGAGTACAGCTGATCATGTTTACACTTTGAACAACCAGGATTTACACACACACACACACACACACACACACACACACACACACACACACACACACACACACACACATCACACACACACACATACACACACACATACACACAGCAGAAGAAGGAGAAGTAGAAGTAGAAGTGGATGTGCTCTGTCAACTGAGTCAGCGCGGCTCCCTCACTCCCATGACAGTGTGTGTGTGTGTGCGTGTGTGTGCGTGTGTGTGTGTATGTGTGTGTGTGTGTGCGTGTGTGTGTGCGTGCGTGTGTGCGTGTGCGTGTGCGTGCGTGCGTGCGTGCGTGCGTGCGCGCGCGTGCGTGCGTGCGTGTGTGTGTGTGTGTGTGTGGCGTTAGATCAAACTGCTTTCTCTTGTTTGGTGTGTGTTGATCTCTCAGTGAGTGTCTCTTTTTTCCTCTCAGACTTCAGATCAGAACATGGACGTGTGTTTAGAGGACGAGGAGGATGGAGCAGAGTCTCCTGTACCCAGCTGTCTGTCTATGAAGAGTGATCTGTCCAAACATGAACCTCCATACTTCAGTAAAGAACCTGGACCCTCAGACACAAAGTAAGAAAACTTACCAACTCATTACACTTCAGATTTAAGTTTTACTTAAATTAATCTGCTATCTTAAACTTTCTGATTTAAAGAGAAATCATTTGATATTAAAGAGGACATATTCTCCTCCTCCTCCACCTTTTCAAACAGTCCTCCTCCACCTTTTCAAACAGTCCCCCCCTCCACCTTTTCAAACAGTCCCCCCTCCACCTTTTCAAACAGTCCCTCCTCCACCTTTTCAAACAGTCCTCCTCCTCCACCTTTTCAAACAGTCCCCTCCTCCACCTTTTCAAACAGTCCTCCTCTCCACCTTTTCAAACAGTCCCCTCCACCTTTTCAAACAGTCCTCCTCCACCTTTTCAAACAGTCCCTCCTCCACCTTTTCAAACAGTCCTCCCTCCACCTTTTCAAACAGTCCTCCTCCACCTTTTCAAACAGTCCCCTCCTCCACCTTTTCAAACAGTCCCCTCCTCCACCTTTTCAAACAGTCCTCCTCCACCTTTTCAAACAGTCCCCTCCTCCACCTTTTCAAACAGTCCCCCTCCTCCACCTTTTCAATCAGTCCCCTCCTCCACCTTTTCAAACAGTCCCTCCTCCACCTTTTCAAACAGTCCCTGTCCTCCACCTTTTCAAACAGTCCCCCTCCACCTTTTCAAACAGTCCTCCTCCACCTTTTCAAACAGTCCCCTCCTCCACCTTTTCAAACAGTCCTCCTCCTCCACCTTTTCAAACAGTCCTCCTCCACCTTTTCAAACAGTCCCCTCCTCCACCTTTTCAAAACAGTCCCCTCCTCCACCTTTTCAATCAGTCCCCTCCTCCACCTTTTCAAACAGTCCCTCCTCCACCTTTTCAAACAGTCCCCTCCTCCACCTTTTCAAACAGTCCCCTCCACCTTTTCAAACAGTCCCCTCCTCCACCTTTTCAAACAGTCCTCCTCCACCTTTTCAAACAGTCCTCCTCCCCCTTTTCAAACAGTCCCCTCCTCCACCTTTTCAAACAGTCCCCTCCTCCACCTTTTCAAACAGTCCTCCCCACCTTTTCAAACAGTCCCCTCTCCACCTTTTCAAACAGTCCTCCTCCCCCTTTTCAAACAGTCCCCCTCCTCCACCTTTTCAAACAGTCCCCTCCTCCACCTTTTCAAACAGTCCCCTCCTCCCCCTTTTCAAACAGTCCCCTCCTCCACCTTTTCAAACAGTCCTCCTCCACCTTTTCAAACAGTCCCCCTCCTCCACCTTTTCAAACAGTCCTCCTCCACCTTTTCAAACAGTCCTCCTCCCCTTTTCAAACACTCCCCTCCTCCACCTTTTCAAACAGTCCTCCTCCCCCTTTTCAAACAGTCCCCTCCTCCACCTTTTCAAACAGTCCTCCTCCACCTTTTCAAACAGTCCTCCTCCCCTTTTCAAACAGTCCCCCTCCTCCACCTTTTCAAACAGTCCTCCTCCTCCACCTTTTCAAACAGTCCTCCTCCACCTTTTCAAACAGTCCTCCTTCACCTTTTCAAACAGTCCCCTCCTCCACCTTTTCAAACAGTCCTCCTCCCCTTTTCAAACAGTCCCCCTCCTCCACCTTTTCAAACAGTCCCCCTCCTCCACCTTTTCAAACAGTCCCCTCCTCCACCTTTTCAAACAGTCCCCCTCCACCTTTTCAAACAGTCCTCCTCCACCATCAAACAGTCCCCTCCTCCACCTTTCAAACAGTCCCCTCCTCCACCTTTTCAAACAGTCCCCTCCACCTTTTAAACAGTCCCCCTCCACCTTTTCAAACAGTCCTCCTCCACCTTTTCAAACAGTCCCCCTCCTCCACCTTTTCAAACAGTCCCCTCCTCCACCTTTTCAAACAGTCCTAAATTAGAAGACAGCTCATTCTCCCCACAAGCATTTAAAAAGTAGACCTCTTATTTTTCAATGTAAATAATCCTCGTCAGTCATGGTTCCTTTGATCGTGGGATGGCCAGACTCATGATTCATAATATAATTTGTGCAGCTATAGTATAAAGACCCTCCTGCCAGGGCCATGATGTGTTCAGGTTCAGGTTGTGTCAAAATCAAGGACTGCCTTTATGTAACAATCTGACCCAGGACAGTAGAGACAGAATCCATAAAGAGAAGGACAACAAATGAAACCGTAACATCACTAAGGGCACACTCACGGTAGGTCATCTGTACTGTGCCCAAGCACGTTTGACCCCCAAAGTCTAAGTTCCTTTGAGTGTGAGTTCTCTGATTCCCTATCACGGATGGAAGAGGTGGGCTTAGGCATGGTACGGTTTTCATGCACAAGCAGAGTGTTATATCTGTATCTGACAAAAATAAGCCTCAAACTCTGTAAAGTAGCTGTTGTGTTCTCTGTGTGGTTCTACGATGTGCGGATGCAGACTTGACGTCTGTGCCCTGTTACTGCTGATCCACCACAATGTAATTCAAAATGTTTCACCACGTCTAACCTTAGTTCAAAGGCCGACTAACCCGAGCCCAGCTGTCTGAAGTGACAGTGAAACAGTCGATGACAGGATCAGACTCTGTGAAGAAGCTGCACATGATGTTCAGTCTGCTTTAATAAAAAAAACTGCACACAGATCATTAATGTTACAAAAGACAGTGAGAGAGAAAATGTTGTTCTTTAGTCTTTATGAAAGCAGGAGGCTTAAAACACAAGAAACAATCATCTGACTGCAGACTATGAGCTGAATACAAAGAAGGCGTTACCTGCTCTCTATGATCATCTGAGTGTTTAGATCGTGTTTAATAAATCTTCATTTTTCTTCAAATCAGTCAACGATCAGTTTAGTTCTAAAGACATGTCTTCACAGGGGGACGAAGAGGACTCATGTTATAGAGGAGCAGCCGTCCTGTCCTGTGTGTCAGGACGTCCTGAAGGATCCCGTTTCTACCAGCTGTGGACACTGGTTCTGCAGACAGTGCATCACCTCATACTGGGACCAGTCTGGTTCACCACGAGACTCGTCCTGTCCTCAGTGTGGAAAAAGATCCAGAACAGGACCTGGACTGCAGACAGTCAGTCAGAGCAGCACTGAACAAAGTAAGACTGTACACCTTTCTGCTTCTGTGATCTCCTCCTAAAACAGGACTTTTATTGGTAAATGTAAAAAGTATAGAAATTAAAACTCTTTTTTACTTCTTTTACAAAAACATTTGAAAACAATAATCAGATTCTATCATTCTCTCTTTCAGTTGATAGAGGTCTGCAGGAGGTTACAGATGAACATAAGGTCAGTCTGAGGAGGAGATGTGAACGTGTGACTGAAGGAAGTGATGAAACAGGAAGTAGAACCCTCCTCAACAGGATCTACACTGAGCTCTACATCACAGAGGGACAGAGTGAAGAGGTGAACACCCAACATGAGGTGAGACAGCTTGAGACAGATCTAAAAAGAAGACCCTCCATGAGACTCCAATCAAGTGTCAGGACATCTTTAAAGCCTTACCGCCAACAGAAAAAAGACCAGACAGCAGAAGAAGCTCAACCGACCAACAGAACCAAAAGACAGAAGCTCAACCCGACCAGAACCAAAAGACAGAAGCTCAACCCGACCAACAGAACCAAAAGACAGAAGCTCAACCCGACCAACAGAAACCCATCAGAGTGGTTCTGACAAACGGGTCGCTGGTGTTGGTAAAACCTTCTCAGTACAGAAGTTCACTCTGGACTGGGCAGAGGGCTCAGAGAACCAAGAGCTCAGTCTGGTGATCCTGCTTTCATTCAGGGAGCTGAACTTGATCAGAGATAAGGAGTACAGTCTTCTTGAGGTGCTCTGTGTTTTCCATCCAACATTACAGAAGGTCACAGCAGAGACGCTCGCTGTCTGTAAACTGTTGTTCATCTTTGACGGCCTGGATGAAAGCAGACCGTCATTGGACTTCACAAACAGGAGGTTGTTTCTGATGTCACACAGAAGTCATCGTTAAACACACTGTTCACAAACCTCATCAAGGGGAATCTGCTTCCCTCAGCTCTCATCTGGATAACTTCTCGACCTGCAGCAGCCAATCAGATCCCTCCTTCATGTGTTGACAGGTTTAACAGAAGTACGAGGCTTCACTGACGCCCAGAAGGAGGAGTACTTCAGGAGGAGGTTCAGTGATGATGAAGATCTGTCCAGCAGAATCATCTCACACATCAAGACATCCAGGAGCCTCCACATCATGTGTCTGATCCCGGTCTTCTGCTGGATCACTGCCACAGTTCTGGATCACATGATGAGCAGAGAGCAGAGAGGAGAGCTGCCCAAGACCCTGACTGACATGTACTCACACTTCCTGCTGGTTCAGACAAAGAGGAAGAAGAACAAGTATGGTGAGGGACTTCAGATGAGTCCACATGAGCTGATGGAGGCTGACAGGGAAGTTCTTCTGAAGCTGGGGAGGCTGGCGTTTGAACATCTAGAAAGGAAACATCATGTTCTACCAAGAAGACCTGGAGCGTGTGGTCTGGATGTCACAGAGGCCTCGGTGTACTCAGGAGTTTGTACAGAGATCTTGAAAACAGAGTGTGTGATCTTCCAGAAAACAGTCTACTGCTTTGTTCATCTGAGCGTTCAGGAGTTTCTGGCTGCAGTCTACATGTTCCACTGTTTCACCAACAAGAACACAACAGTTCTGAAGGCTTTTCTGGGGAAAAATGTAGATTCAACCTTGATGTTCTCCTAAATGAAGCAATGAAGAAATCCATGAGGAGTAAAAAGGTCACCTGGACCTGTTTGTTCGCTTCCTTCATGGACTCTCTAAGTCAAACCAGAGACTCTTAAGAGGCCTGATGGTCAGACAGACAACAGTCCAGATATGATCCAAAGAGTCATCAACAACCTGAAGAGAGAATAAGAAATATCTCTCCTGACAGAAGCATCAACATCTTCCACTGTCTGACGGAGATCAACGACCTCTCAGTCCATCAGGAGATCCAAGAGTTCCTGAAGTCAAAGAACAGATCAAAGAAGGACTCTCTGTGATCCACTGCTCTGCTCTGGCCTACATGCTGCAGATGTCCGAGGAGGTTTTGGATGAGTTGGACCTGTATAAGTACAACACATCAGAGAAGGGACGATTGAGACTGATTCCAGCTGTGAGGAACTGCAGGAAGGCAAAGTAAGTCCAGATGTTTAGCGCATTATAATTGTCATGTACTAATTTACTTATTTTAATAAAAACTAAACAATATCCTCACTGTTCACAAAATAGTGTTCCACTGTTAATGTTCAGGAGAAATAGTCAGTCATAGTTATTTCACACATGAAGATTTTTTAACTTTTTGCCCTGAGTTCAAAAATAGATTTGATACAGTAGTTTTTTTTGTGAACACATTCAGAGGGAATTTAAAAAAGGTGATTGAGATGCTGATAGTGTTCATCCCTGAAAGAGATATCAGATGCTGTGAGTGCCCCTTCCAGCTCTGAAGGCATAAAATCAATCACGAGCATCATCTCTAAAATCTCAGCAGGTAGATCATAGAAAAACTGTTCTGGAAGGAGATCCTTAACTTCACTACATTTTATTCTTTGCTGATTTATTTGATTTCTGGATCATTCTGCAGCAGTCACTGTATTTTCCCGTTTATAGAAGAGAGCCAGACGGCACGAGAATGAGATCCTCCTCCTCTAGAGTTACTGTTCAATGAGTTTCAAATGGTTTTCTAATCCAGAGGAAGTCCTCGAATAGATCACACTTTAGGTCACAGACTATAGACATGATGTCATCCTCAATAAAACTACATTTGTTTCCATTCATCTGCAACATTTAGTGAATGATTGAAAGATGAAAAATGTGCAGGTTTGAAAACGAGTGATGAGACTTTTTGTGTCAGTGACAGATTCTACTGATGTGTAAAGTTAAGACCAAAAGAACATGACAAACTGTTTAATCATCAAATGTGAGACGTATATCAAACGCTGCTTTTGAGTCATATTTCTCTGTTATATGTGTCACAACAGACTTTCTGGCTGTGGACTCTCTGAGACTCACTGTGACGTCGTGGCCTCAGCTCTGAAGTCCAACCCCTCCCATCTCAGAGAGCTGAACCTGAGTAACAACGATCCCTGCAGGATTCAGGAGTGAAGCTGCTGTGTGAGGGACTGCAGAGTCCAAACTGCAGACTGGAACTCTGAGGTCAGATCACTGACTGTAATATATATATATGTCTGTAATAGAAACTGTGTTTGAATGTATTAAAGGTTAGCAGCTTGAGATGCATCGTCTCATCTTTAAGGGGGTCCTAACACAAATATAAAGTAATACAGAAACATCCAAAACAGCATTACTTAACAGACACACTTACAATCACACAAACACAGACAGATATGAAATATATGATGGGATAGTTTTCTGCTTGAAGAGCTAAAAAATAAACACAAAGGAGGAAGGTCAGTCAGAGAGTTTATCATTAGAACAAGTTTAGATTGAGTTTTTATAACGTTCTATATCCTGTCAAAGCATGAATCATCTTCATGCAGAATTTCTGATAATGTGGAGAAAAGTTTCAAACTCTTCATGAAGATGAAAAACAACGTGCACATGAAGCCTCTGGTTTCCTCTTGTTCTGTTAAGAATTCATCTTTTATTCTTTATTCAGATTGAGTCTCTGCTGGTTTTACTTTGTCCACAGGGGGCCAAAACGGACACGTGATGAAAGTTCCTCACAGGAGCTTTGAGTGTTTGACTCTAAGAATGATCAGGAAGAACAAAAACATGAATGAATCACAATCAAGTCCTTAAATGTTAGAATGAACAGATGATGATCACATCAGTGTGTTCATGTGGACAACATCACACATTCATGCATAAAGCTCACTGTCATCTACATTTACATCTTTTATTCTTTATTCAGATTGATTTGCTGCAGTTTGTCAGAGATCAGCTGTTCTTCTCTGGTCTCAGCTCTGAAGTCCAACCCCTCCCATCTCAGAGAGCTGGACCTGAGCTGAACACGCTGAAGGATTCAGGAGTGAAGCTGCTGAGAGCTCTTGAGAAGAATCCAAACTATCGACTGGAGACTCTGAGGTCAGTCTGTCAGTGTTCTTTAGTAAACCCTCCGAATATCAGGTCATAAAGAAAATTTAGATTCTTATGTTTTGTCGGAGAAATCCTTTTCTGGGTCTATACTACGAAGACAGTTCAACATACCAGGGTTTATTTTTCTGTTATCTAGCTTCACTAACTCTGACATAAGAGATTGTGCTGAACAGTCACGTGAATCTGGTTATCAACCTGATAAGTAAACCCAGAGTTTCAGAGAGCACGTTCACATAAAAGGGGCGGAGTTAGCTTCATATGACCTATCACAATCATCACAGAGTCTGCCGTCAGCAGATCGTCATATCTAACAAACTCTGAACAAACTATATTACTAATATGAAGAAGTTTAAGACAAACAGGCTCCCAAAGACTAAAGTTACACAGCTGCAGGAACAACTGGCAGAAAAAAGAAACATCAGAGAGTATTAATGTCCAAACTACGGCTTCAGTGTTAAAGTACAAAGGTGGAGTGAGGGTGGAGCTTAGTTACAGCGCTGTGGGGAATCTGATGACGGGGGTCTGTGTAGAAAATGATTTAAGATTTCTGTGATCTCTCTTCTTCTCTCATTAGATGCAGGAGATGATCACTGACAGAATGTGAGCCATCAGGACGCTGGTGGTGCAGAGAGGAGCAGCTGTGTCCTGATGATCCACAGAGGATGAAGCAGCAGCTCCACTGTCACCGTCTCCACAGAATTAACCCTGAGTGTTCCTCTGACGTGACAGAGTATCATCAGAGTTCATGGACTGCTCTGCTGCTGCTCCGTCCTGCTACACTCTCTGCAGACACACTGACACTCTTCTACACTCTACCACCTCCTCCACCTGGAATCTGCTTTCATTTGCTCTTTTCTTTTTCTTTTCTTCACAATATCTGGACACAAACCAGTCACCACCAAATTCTATTAATCAGAATTATACATTTAAAGACTTTAGTAAATATATTGATTTATTTTTCAGAGTCAACGAGAG